GGATGCTGTGTGATGCTGGGTGAGTCTCTGTCTCTCTCTGGACAAGGTTTGGTTATTTTACTTAAGAAACAAGGAGCGGATAGGGAATGAGGAGTCACTTGACTTTAAGTCCTCTAATTCTAATAATAAGAGCTAGTGGGGGTTATCCTGGCATTCTGATTCTGCCATTTAGCTCCCCTATTCTCTCCAGCCCAGGAGCATCTTCAGAGCAGGATTATCTTTCTTGTCCTGGAATTCACAAAACCAAGCTCAGGGCCTATCATAGAAGAGATGCCCAGTAAAACATTTATTTATTCATTCAACAAACACCCATTGCTACACGTCTGGGTTAAAGCACTGAGTAAATGAGATGAGGTTCCTGCGTGCTAAGAGGGTGATGAACGGTGGGACACAAGCAGACAAGTCGATGGATGCCCGAGTGAGCTCAGTGCTGCAGACACAGTGACATCGGGCAGTGGGGTGGACAGTGACTCGGGTGAGAGGCCTCTCCGTGGTGCTTCCAGCCAGCTGAGCCTTGGCAGATTCCCAAGAACACGGGGCGGAGGGAAGAACAAAGCAAAGGGTCGGTAGGTCCGAAACCCGAAAGCGAGGTGGGAGGAAGGCAGGAGGAGCCTCGAGGAGGCTCCGCGGGGGTCCAGAGAGAGGCGGTGAGGGCTGGACGAAGAGGCACCGTTTGGAGAGAGCCAAGGGCCTGCTGATTTGTTGCCGCCCAGCCGGCCCCCCTGCGCTCCAGCACCCTGGACAGCGCGGTCCGCGGGTTTCCTCTTCTCAGACCCCGCGCTTCCCTCAGGACCCCTCTTCTCGTGGATTTAATAACAAATTAACAAAATTATTTGTTAGAACAGTTTTAAGTTCATAGGAAAACTGAATGGCAAGTACAAAGGGGATTCCTTTACCCCGTCTTCCCGTGGCTTTAAAGCATTTTTATTTTTAATTATAGAGCATTTCAACCTACAAAAACCAGAAAATAGGTGTCCGCCATGAATACAAAGTGGGCATTAATACTCGGCCGTATTTGCTTCAAAGTTCTACCTTTTAAAAAGGAAAATCGATGAAATCCGATAGGCACAGCTGGGCTGAAGGTGGCGTTCATTCACCTGTCCCACGTTTTGTGCCGTCGCCACCTCGTCATGAAATCAAAACCCATATGTTCTATCATAAGACGTATTTTTCAAGTTTATATAAATCTTATTAAAAAACTGAGCAATATGCCCCGTCTCTTTTTGTGTGTGCTGAGGACCGAAGCCAGGGCTTCATGCTTGCCAGACCAGCATTCTACCACTGAGCTAAGTCCCCAGCCCCTAGGCCCTGCCCCCCCCCCTGATTTTCCACTCCACGTTACGTTTTGGAGACTCGCCCATGTTGATGCGTGCTGATCTGCACACTCACTTTAACAGTGCTAGATTACTTCGTACTTAGGAATCAGTTTGCCTCCCTGCTGACTGGCAGTTAATCTTCTCTCTGATACATACTAAGTCGCGGTCAATATCCCTGACGTGTGTTCTTTTCACGTCAGTCAGAATACGGCAGAGAACTCGGCCAATGCCCCATCCGGGTGTCTTTTACCCTTTACCTCTTATCCGCTGGAGTGCTGGCTGCTAGGGACTCACAGCTGCGGCCCCCTTAGGAGGTGCCCTCATCCATGGAGCTGTACCACCCCTCCGTGTGGAGCCCCCAGAGTGACTGGCTGATACGGGTGGACAAATACTTGGCTGCCTCTGCCTAAACCAGCTCTGGGGTTTGAATGCCCCGGAGCTCCCTGTGGGTGGATTGAAGCCGATCTCCAGCTGAGAACGCATCTTTGCCCGCGCTCCCTCCCACCCTGTCTGCATTCCTGCTGCTCCCTTCACCTGAGAGCTGTCCTTCCGTGAAGACCTGCTCAAGAGTCCCTGTCCTGGACCGGGGATGTGGCTCTCAGTGGTTCCGCCGCCTGCCTTGCAAGTGCAAGGACCTGAGTTCTGATCCCCGGTATTAAAAAAGGAAAAAGAAAAAAGAATCCTGTCCCAGGTTCTGCTTAGGGAACCTGTTCGTGGTGCAGTTGTCTGGGGTGCAGATGGTTCATCTTAACATTAACTAAACACTTTCACGTTGTTCTCCAATGTAGTTGCGCCAGTTTCCATTGCCACCAGCAGCTGATAAGCATTGCTATTGCCCCGTAGTTTCATCAGTACTAGGTACAGACTCATGAGACTGATGGAACGCAGCCTCATTATTGTTTTAATTTGCACTTCTATGTCGACCAGTTGTAAACATGCTTTGCATTTCCTCGTCTGGTAATTGAGAATCATTTTTGTACCTTTTCGGCCATTTAAATTTCTTCCTCCAGGCTGAATGTGGTGGCGCAACCCTGTAATCCCAGCACTCAGGAGGCTGAGGCAGGAGGATCGCTGTGAGTTTGAGACCAGCCTGGGCTACTTAGTGAGTTCCAGGGTGGTCTCAACTACATAGTGAAGCCCTGTCTCTCTCACACACATACATACACAAGCAAAAACAACTAAATTTCTTCCTCTGTTATTTGTTCATATCTGGTCCATTTTTTCCTACTGCTTTGGGATGTTTTCAGTAAATTTCTTCTTTGGGGTTTTTGGGGTTTGTTTCGTGGTCCTAGGGGTTGCACTCTGGGCCTTGTGCATACTAGGCAAGCACTCTACAATCTAAACTCTTAGCTCTTCTTTGTAGTTTTTAAAAAAACATTTTGGAAACAATTCTCTGTTGGATATACAGGTTTCAACTTCACATAATGTATGGTTTTAAAAATATTTTTGTCATATGAAAGTTCTTGCTTTTAATGAAATGATTTATCATTGTTTTCTTTTATTATTTATGTTTTATGTCTTGTTTTCTACTCTAAGATCATATAGTTGCTTTGCTCTGCTTTAAAAAATATTATAGCATGTTTTTTACAGTTAGGACTTTAATCACCCTGGAACTTATATTTTGTGAGTGGTGTGCACAGAGATCAAATCTTACCTTTTTCCATAGGGAATCTGATTGCCCTAACATCACCCACTAACTAAACCACACTTACTTTTGTCATGTTTGAGCTCTCCTTTGTATTTGGATCTGTTCCCAGGCATTAGTCTCTTTTTTTCCCCATCTGTTGTCTATTTCTGAGCTCTAATGAACTATCTTAATTATGAGAGCTTCACAATAACTATTGATATCTCCTAGGCAAGGTTTCCTTCTTTTCTTTTCAAAATTACCTTGGCTATTCTGGGTTCTTTGTTATTGCATATACATATTGGGCTGACCTTGTCGAGTTGTCGGGAAAGCTCTAGGGTGACTCTTAGTGGAGGTAAATTGTGCAGGCTAAGTCAGAGAGAAATCACCAGCTTTGCAGGGATGCCCCTCACATCCATGCACATGGGATTTCTCCCCTGCCTGAGCTCCTCCACTCCACACTTATGCGCCTTGCCCAGAGAATGCCTAGAAAATGAACCTCCAAACCCTTCTAATTCCCCGCCCCTGCCCAACGAAAGTGCTTCCTCCTCCAGGATGTCCTCAAGGACTGGCCCTGGCCACCCCACTCTGACCTCTCACCTCTCCAAGCACCCTACTTCCTGGACCATCCAGCACAGTGGATTTAACTGAGGGGGCCTCTTCTCGCCCTTTTGATCTTCACTTAATCTCTGCATCTCATTGATCTTCATACCTCCAGGGCACATGGCACACGGTAGGTGTTCAATAGGGTTTGATGAAGGTGTAGTCATGGGTCTTTCCTCCTAGGTAACAGCCAGTGTTGTAGGGGCTGGGACTGAGTTTGGAGTCTGATGGAAACACAGCGGGCTTGGTCAGATGGTTCTAGCTTTGTGTGCTGCTGGTGGTTGTTCTGCCACACAGCACACCAGCCTCTCAAGACATCCTTTTGCCCAACTGATTTCTCCCCTTTCTGAGTGAAGACTTCCCTCCACTGGAGATCCTTTACCTGCTCACCTCTACAATCAAGGGGATCTTCCCCACGTCTGAGCCACTGGCTCCAATGCACACAGCTGAGCTCTGCTCTGCTTCTGTGCCCTGCCCAGCCTCTGGCGCCACCATCCTGGCTCTTCCGCTGTGCCTTCAACTGTGGACCTGCTCATCCTATCTCCCCTTCCTGCCCCACAGTCCAGGGAAGTTGTTCCTATGAGCTGTTCCTCCCACCAACGGGCATCTTCTTCCCAGGAGGACTAAGGCAAGAACACTGCACTGTCCAGCTGCAGGGACTGTGCCACCATGGGGAGTGTCATCTGCACCTTGGGAGACAAAACTTGCTTGCAGATGCCTGAGCAGAGCACAGGCTTTGGAGTCTGAAATACTGGGGTTCTGACTCACCCCCAACCTCATGCTTGACTTCAGGCAAGCTGACCTAGATGAGGCTTGGCCTCCTCCTGAGTAGAACGGGTGTGTCCTTCCACTTCCTGGGCAAGGCAAGGAGCCCAGGAAGACAGTGCCTGGGAGGCAGCAGTGAGCACAAGGTTCCTCCTTCCTCCCCGAGCAGGGTTGGAGAAAATGAGGAAACAAGCAAAGATGAGGCAGAATTTATTCTCGCTGTGGGTAAGTTCAAGTGTCGGGCTGCGGGCCCCCGAGAGGCAGACCCCTGGACCCGAGGGGGACCCACACCTGGAAGGGGGCCGCACTCTGGCAAGTACCAGGCCCCGTACCCCTGTGACCATGAGGACCCCACGCCCAGAAACCGGGTGAGAGTGGGCTGGGTGGGGAGGAACACAGGGTCCTCCCCACTCGAGTCCTGACCGTGTTTCCCACTTCCATAGGAAGGAAGAGCAGCTCGGCTATATAGTAATATAATATACAGAGGTGGAGAGAGCTGGCCGCGGCACCTGGGCGGGCTGAGACCCCCGAATTATTGCAGACGGGAAGGGGGCTCAGTGCTGGTGTCTCGCGGGGTAGCTGTGCTGGCTGTGGGGAAGGGCTGGGCAGGGGCTGGAAGCCGGGTGGCAGGGGGCCCAGGGAGGGCCCTGCTGCCAGACTTCCCTGGGATGGGCCTTTCTCACCCTTCGTGCTTTTTATGTGCTTTGAAGACCATTTTTGCATTGTCGGGAGTGAGGAAAAAATATTCTAACATGGTAGAAAAGAGATATTTACATACCCTGGTGGGCCGTAAGGAGAAGGGTCCGTCAGCTGGGGGGTGCTCCCAGGCTTCTCCCGCCCCAGCTGGCTGCCCGGGGAGGTGCATGGGGAAAAGAGCCCTGGGCTGGGAGGCAGGAGGCTCCAATTCTGAAACACGGTTGCTGTGTGACCTTGGACAAAGTGTACCCCTCTCCAGGCCTAGGTCTCCCCATGTGGTACAGGAAGTGGGAGCTGGGGCTAAGATCTTATATTCCCTGACCCTAAGAATGGGGCAGGGGGTGGGGTGGGTCTGGGCAGTGAGGTGTTGGCAAAGGGGCTTCTACAGGAGGAGACCTGGGTCCCAGAGGGCGCATCAGAACCAGAGCGTAGTCAGTGGCCCCTTGGCCCCATCCAGGCAGCCCGGTCCAGTCTTGAGTGCTCTGCCCTGAAACCTATGAGAGAGGTGGCCAGGAAGACTGGCCAGAAACCCTGTTTTCCTGTTGGGCAGCAGTGGGAACCAGGTGGAAGCTGTAGGTGGCCCCCCAGCTAGAGGGAGGCCCGGGACCTGAGATACAGCCAGGGGTGGGCTCACCTAGGTGGGGACCAGGCAGGCCTGGTGCTGGTGTGGTTCAGAAGCAACCCCTGGCTCCAACCTCCAGAGAGGGATGGCAAGAGCCTCTGCTCAGTCCCCACGGGTGCTGGGACCTGGGCAGCGCCACACTGAGTGCCTTGCTTACATGAATGAGTTCCTGATTCATGACACAGCACAGCCAGCCCCGACAGATGAGTACACACACCATAACACAGACACACAGGTGGTCACACAGTGTCCACATGGGTCCCCGCCACCTCGTGACAGCACACCCCTATGGCACACTCGTACACACACATGCACACACACACATGAGGCGGTGGTGACATCTCTGTGGGACTCTGCACTGAGGCCCTAGGCTCTGACAGAGGGGAAACCCTCTGCCCGAAGAGGCAGCTGTCCTGGCCATGCTAGGCACCAAGACCCAGCCCAGGCACTGACCCTTCTGACTCCAGGTACCACAGCAGAGTCTTCACCTCCCTGGCTCTGGAGAGTGGTACAGGCAGGGCCCTGGGGCTGCTCTGACTGCCGCCGAGCCCACCGCTCCTCTGATAGCTGGCACAGCCCTATGCCCTGAGTCAGAGGTGCCGGCGGGGCCCCTGGGTGCTGGTCAGCTGGGCCCTCATGGTCTGGATGCTGCCCAGGATCTTCTTTTGGTGGCCCATGAGAGTGATGCCCAGAGCACGCACGTCCCTGTGGAGAAGTGAGGCTCTGACCAGGCTGATGGGGAGGTGGGAGTCAGGAAGACAGCACTGCGCTTGTCCCCTGGAAATGCCCTCTGCAGCCCCTGCCCCTGCCCCGCCCCCATCCCCTGTGCCTCCCCAGTGCCCTTCACTCACTGAGCGTCCATGCGAAGCACCATGCCCAAGGACGAGTAACCGCCGGCAGCGAAGTGGTCTCGGTACCGGCCCATGCGGATGGAGTCCAGCCAGTCCCCCACGGTGAGGCCCCCGCCGCCACCCCCGCCCCCTCGGAGGTCAAAACAGCTCCTGGCAAAGGCGGGGGGCGGGCACCTGAGGCATAGGCATAGGGCCTTCTGTTAGTGGCCTGCCAGGCCTGTGGTCTTCCTTGGGGACCTCGGCATTGGCTGACCTCAGCAGTAGGGAGAGGGTTCTCAAGGCTGGATCTTGGGGGTAGGGAATTAGCCCTGGCGGGGTCTGGTCCAGGGATCAGGCCAAGATGTCCCAGGGACTGGATCGAGTCCAGGCTTGGTCTGGGCCAATGCTGGTTGGCCACCGAGCCGCGCCAGGGACTGGGTGAGGACAAGGTACCTGCCGGCCGTGGCCGTGGCTCTGAGACTCTCAGGGCTGCGAATCAGTGCATCAAGAACGCTGACGATGTGGGAGAAGCGAGGCCGCTGGGTCCGTTCCTTGTGCCAACAGTCGAGCATGAGCTGGTGCAGGGCTCGGGGGCAGCCCATGGGTGCAGGCAGCCGGTAGCCCTCCTCCACGGAGCTGATGACCTGGAGGACAGCACTGGGCTCGGGCTGTACCCTCAACCCACCGTGCACCGCCCAGCCTGGGGCCACACTCACGTCTCGGTTGGTCATGTTCCAGTAGGGCCTCTCGCCGTAGGCCAGCACCTCCCACATGACCACGCCGAAACTCCACACGTCGCTGGCTGAGGAGAAAGTCCGGAAGGCGATGGCCTCCGGAGCTGTCCATCGGATGGGAATCTTCCCGCCCTGGGATGGACACAGAAGTATTGGATCGGAGCTTCTCCACCATCTCAAGGCAAACAGCTTATCTCTGGGATCTCAGTCCAGTACAGGAGAACAGCCTGCCTTCTAGGAATACCTGTCCTGGGAGGACGCCCGCCTCACAGAGCCACTGTGAAGACAGAATGGGAGCGTGCACGGCACCCAGCGTGCAGGAGGTGCCCAACAATGACAGCTGAACCACGAGGGAGTGCGGAGAAAGGGCCTGGCCATTTTTAAGCTCCTCCTCTTCCCTCTCTCTCCTCTATTTCTTTGGTCCCAGCCTCCTTCCTCTGGGGAGAGCTGACTCAGAGGCCCAGTGGGAGAGAGCCAGGGGAGAAAGCTGTACCAGAGTACAGTGGGAGAAACCCAATCTCCACAGAGCACACAGGAACTCAGCTGGTCTTAGAGACAGATGCGGAGTCTGTGAGTGATTTGGAGGAATGACAGCTGGAACCAGCCTTATGTTCCCCCAGGCAGCTGCTGACCGAGGAAAGGAAGGCAAGGCTGTCTCCATGTCCCTGAGGGGAAGATTCCTAGAGGCAGGACTTGCCCAGACCGGAGGTGACCCTGGAGCTGCTAACTTTAGGTGTGGGGGGACGTTGGGGGTCGTGGTTGGGAGAGCCCACCCATGCCACCTCGCCCTTGGGGGAGGGTGCAGGCCACACACCGTGGTGGTGTAGGCGGCATTGGGGTCGTCCTCCAGCACCCGAGAGAGCCCGAAGTCGGACACCTTGCAGACCAGGTTGCTGTCAACCAGTACGTTGCGGGCGGCCAGGTCGCGGTGGATGTAGCCCAGGTCCGAGAGGTATCGCATGCCGGCACCCACTCCTCTGAGCATGCCCACGAGCTGCATGATGGTGAACTGTCCATCGTGGATCTGCAGAGGGACACGGCATGGCACGGCACGGGCTTTGGGAAGGCCCAGAGGGGTGTCTGGCCCTGGGACAGGTGTCCTGCCCACACGGGTGACACTTGAGAGAGGAGGCAGCTCTCTGCCATGGTGCACAGTACTTCACTGCTTACAGAAGCCCTGGTAGTTTAAGGGTCCCCGGTGCCCTGTGAGGCAGGTGGGGCAGCCATGACCATTTGTCCACTTCAGAGGAGACATGAAGACCCAGAGTGGTTAAGTCCTGTGCCTCAGACACATGACAGCAAACACAAGACAGGGCAGGAGGTGTGAATCTAGCCACCTCCTCCAAGGTGGTGCTGTAGGCCACGGCAGACCCCCACAGACACCCTTCTTGGCTGGGGCTGCCACAGTTCAGCTGGGCAGGGTGAAGTCCGGAGGGTGGGGATTCTCCCCTGCAGACTTCACAAGGGCAGGAGCCAGTCAGGGAAGGGGATCAAAGAGGGCACCCCTGACCTGTGCCCTGCTGTGACCGTCCCCACAGGCACTGTGGCTACAGCAAGGCCTTCCAGGACTCTGATGAGGAGAAGATGCATTACCAGAGCGGGCAATGTGACCGTCCACAGGCACTGTGGCTACAGCAAGGCCTTCCAGGACTCTGATGAGGAGAAGATGCATTACCAGAGCGGGCAGGGCGTGTGCAGGGCCCAGCCCCCCAGGACCTGTGGAGCGGCAGGACTTTCATGGTGGAGGCTGAAAGGCTTTCGACCGGCCAGCCCTGAAGACCCCTCCTTTCCCTGCCTCCCATCACCCAGCCCGGACTCCCCACCCCCCGTCTGGTCCGTGCAGGCAGCAGGGTCTAGACACGCACCCTCAGGAAGGCGTCCAGAGAGCCGTTCTCCATGTACTCGGTCACGATCATTGCCAAGCGGCCTGGTTGGGGAGGGAAGAAGAGCTCTTGGCAGGGAACAGGGCTGATCAGAGGTCCCAGGAACATCCCACCCACAAGCTGGGTTAGCACTGAGGGTCCCAGGGAGCCTAGGAGCCTCAGCAGGGTCCTGGGCTCTGGGAACCCCTAGACTCATCTGAGGACCTGAGCCAAAGGGACAAGGGGAGGGCAGAGGCCCTAGAGGTGGACTCAGAGCTCTGTCTGAGCAGGAGGGGCCCTGCAGGGTGAGGCTTCCCTTGCCCGGCACCTACCACGGGTGACGACACCCTCCAGATGGATGATATTGGGGTGGTCGAACTGGCCCATGATGGACGCCTCACTCAGGAAGTCCCGCCGCTGCCTCTCTGTGTAGCCCGCTTTGAGGGCCTTGATGGCCACGGGCACGTCTGGCTGCCCCGGCACCCGCAGCCGCCCATAGCAGACTTCGCCCGACTCCCCTGGAGACCCCAAGAGGGGCAGGTGGGAGAGGGCAGTGGGTCCCTGCTGCTCTCCCCCACCTCTCTCCCTCAGTTTCTCTCTCCCTCCTCTCACCCCCAGGCTTACCTGAGCCAATGATTTTCTCGATGTGGATCCTGGAGGCCTCGATCTCTCGGGTGAAACCTCGACCTGCCCGACCCGGCTCCTCGTAGGTATGGGGTTCTGTGTAGAACTGGGGCTCTGGTAACTTCCCTGGGGGATGATGCAGGGGCAAGAAGACAGGTGGAGGCGCTGAGGAGGTGGGGGAGAAAAGCCATCAGTGGGTCCAGGAGGGATTTCTCTCTCCCAGCAATTCCCTGGGCCTGGAGTGGGCCTGGGGTGGGTGGAGGATCTCTGGGAACGGCGAACAGTAGGTCCCCCACCAGTGCGTGCCAAGGGAAAACAGGGTCTCTACAGAGTAGCTCGGCTCTGGGCTACCACATGTCTGTTGTTTTCTGGGGTCACTTCAAGAGTCCTTAAGAGCTTTCTAAACTTCTCTGGTGGGGAGGTGGCCAAGGGTTTTTATCACAGATGCCAACTCAGACTGGAGGACTGGTCAGGAGAATTTGGAGGCTGCGTTCGGTCCAGTGGGAATCAGTACTGTGATGGATCCTAATGGGCACAGAAGTGGGGTGCATGGGTACCCCCTGTATTTGCCTTGCTTTCTGGGGTCCTGAAAGGATCCCTGAAAATCTCCCTGTAGTAGGGGTTCTTGTCCAAGTGGATGAACTCCCTGAAGTCATGCAGTCTCTGTACTCTCCAGGGGTCTGGGAGCCTGCCAAGGAGCAGACTGTGCCTCTGGGGCCGGGGCTCTGTGGCTCCCAGTGTCTCTCTCGCTGGGGCCCTGGCCTTTCCTGTGGGCACCATCCCATCTGACCTGGGCCACCAGCCCTGCCCTGGGTCCCCCCAGACACCCCTCACCCCCGGCCTGGGCCCTGCACATACCCTGCCCGCTCTGGTAATGCATCTTCTCCTCATCAGAGTCCTGGAAGGCCTTGCTGTAGCCACAGTGCCTGTGGGGACGGTCACAGCAGGGGACAGGTCAGGGTTGCCCTCTTTGATCCCCTTCCCTGACTGGCTCCTGCCCTTGTGGAGTCTGCAGGGGAGAATCCCCACCCTCCGGACTTCACCCTGCCCAGCTGAACTGTGACAGCCGTGACAGTCACAAAGCAGTTTGCAATCTACAAAACACCCTCAAGTTGCACTGACCCTCACAGCAAGCCCTATTAGAGAGGGAACTGGACCCAACTTCACTCCACGTGTGACTTTGACAGACCCCTTCCATTCCCGGGCCTTCATTTCTCCATCCATTCCATGGTCCTTTCGATTTTACTATCTGAGATCCTAAGACTCATTCATCACTATCCTACTTCCACCTCCCCCTGGAACAGAGTGGGAGAGGAGACAGTGACTGAGAGCATGGTCCTAGTTTGACAGGCCTGGGTCAGCTTTGGTGTCTACCAGCTGTGTGACTTCTGCATGCAGTTTAACCTCTCTGGTCCCAAATGTACTCCCCTGAAAAATGAAGCCAGATAGTCTCTGCCTCTTTGGAGTATCTTTGAGATTAAACGAGATAATTTGTAAGTGAGGGGGCCCGAGGTTAGGCAGGTGGCACAGCACTTGAAAGGAGGCCTTGGGAGCTACAACCACGCACCTCTTTTTGCAGATGAGCAGGAGAAGAAGTACAACTAGGCCTGTGATGAGCGTCAGGCAGATCCAGACAATGGTCCGGGTGTCATAACGGGGCCCTGTGGGGTAAGGGGGTGCGTGAGGGTGGGGGCTGCTCAGGCAGCCGGGGGCCCAGTGGGCAGCCTCTGCAGCCGTGATCCAGCCTTCTGTCCCCACCCACCCTCCTTCAGCTTCTCCTTCATTCCCTGCTGCCTGGGGCTGCCTGGCTTCCCAGTGCTACTCCTGGGCTGTGCAAGCTGGGGAAGGCCACTTCACCTCTCCCAGCAGAATACAGATGAGCCCAAAACACCTGTCCTGCCTGTGGCTCTCACAGTCCCAAGGTGGAGGGTCCTGAGAGCTGCATGCCAGCCTGGCTTACCCCTTCCAGGGGTATCTGCATTTTCAGATAAGAAAACTGAGTCTCAGAGAACGTGAGGAACTTTCTCCAGGCCACCAGTAAGAGGGACAGCAGGGGCAGGATTTCCCACCCAGTCTCAGGGTGGGGTCAGACTTTTGAGCACTGGAGACACCTAGGGACCCAGGGAGTGGCTGGATGCCACGGTGGAGGAAGGGAGCAGCCTTTGAGCCAGTGGTTCTCAGATCTCCAAGCCTCAGAGCCACCCCGAGGGCTGTGCAAGCCCAAAGCTCAGCCACCCACCCCCCACCCTGGTCAGGGTTCCTGATTTAGAGGTGCTGCAGCCCTGAGGAGGAGCATTTCTGGTACCCTGATGCTGCTGGCCCCAGACTCACCTGGGGGACTCCTGGGGGCTGGCAGCAGCATGATACAGGGGAAGGGCCTGGAATTGGAACCCCAGAGCTACCATGTTCTGCTACCCTGTGACCTTGGAAAAATAGTCTCAGGGTTCTGACCCCCACCTTCTCCTAAAACGGGGATGTCTGCAGCACTAACTCTGAGAGTTGCCTCTCCGATGCTTTACTGGGGTCCCCTGCCCTTGGCAAGGACATCACAGGCTGGTGTGGCCCACTGCTGCTTAGGAAAACCCTGCCGGGGGATGGAGCTGTACGGCCTCAAGCAAGTGCTCGTCCTTCTCTGAGCCTCAGTTTCCCCTCGTAAAAGTGCTGGGCCGAAGCCCCTCTTCGACTCTGCGTGGCGCCGCCCCTTCCTCCGCCCCGCCCCCTGCAC